GCCTCTGGGGGACGCCATGGACCCCCACCCCACAGTCCTGTCAGGGAGGGGGTTGGACCTGGGCCAAGGCCGAGGGCCGGGACTTTCCAAGAGACGCAGCCTTGGGCGGGCTGCCCTTCCCATTCTCCAGACTCAAAGACCGAGGCCAATACCAGGCTGTCAGCCTCAGGCAGAAGCAGAATCAGTCGCAGAGGACTCTCCTGGCCCTAAGGCCCTTGTCAGGGAGTCTGGGACCTGTGGGGGTCTGAGTGGGGTCAGCCCTGGTTGGGAAGAGTGTGGTGGACTGGGCTGCCTGGCCAGGGTAGGCAAGGGCCAGGCTTGGGCTCCAGTCTGCTACTCGCCTAGATAGCGCTCCGTGGCCATAGGAAGGGGGGGTCTGTGTGAGCTTGGTGGCTCCAGCCTTCCCACCAAGGCTCCACCCAGCCAAAGTGTCAGTCCGCAGGGGTCACGGTCGGCTGGGCGGGTGGGGTGGGAGACACAAATAGAAAAATAATGGCCTTCATTTCCGATGTCTCTCTCACGTGGCTGAGGCAGGAGGGGCCAAAGAGCCTGCTGGGATGGAACCCACCTCTGGGCCAAAGTTCAGCTGCCTGTGTCTCCTGGCACCCATTGGGGTGGTCTGCCTCCCAACTATCAGGACTAGGCTGAGATCCCCCATGAAGCATCCTCAGGGTTGGTCCCAGAGAGCCAACAACACCCCCCCCACACACACACACCCCACAGCCTCCCCGGAGCTGCGTGTGGAAGAGTGCAGGAGGGCTTCAAGGCCAAGGGAAGTCCATACACAGATGGATACAGGTGCTATGGGCTGAGGAGGGAAGGTGGGGCCAGCCCCTTCCACCTATCACTCTTCCGTGCAGGTTCCCACCTGCCACCCACTCCTTTAGCTGCAGCCCTCTCTGCCCTGCTCACAGATGGGGCTCTGCAGGGCTGACAGTGCCCCACCTCCCAGAAGGCTGCATCACATGGGCAGGCAACCCAGAGCTGGTGAGTTGGCAGGTCTAGGCCTCTGCCACCTGCCTCGGCTGGCTGAAGCAGCCACCAGGCTTGATTTAAAGAGGACTCTTGTAACAAAGGCTCTTCAGGACTCCACACACCCTGGGGCACACATGCCAGGGATCGAGGGGTCCAGATGGATGCATGATGGGCTTTGAAGGGTGGACAGGAGTTCACGTGGACATACTGGAGGCCAATGGTCCGAGCAGAGACAGAGGGTGATGACCAGGGGTGGAGGGCTGGGCTCTGGAGAGGGGCTGGTCCAGCTATAGGAAGTGCTGCTCCCATTCCAGCCCTCAAGGCTCCCTGTGTTGTGGACTGGATGGGCCCGTCACTGGCTCACTCCTGCCATCTAGAGGCCGCTGCTCACCACAGACGGTTTGGTCATCACCTGCCTTGCCTTCTGTCACCTCATCCCTCCACCCTGTGACCACCAGCCCGCCTGGGCCAAGCCTCCACCAACCATCACACCCTCTCCTCTTT